GCTGATTTTTCTACTTTGTCAACTGTTCAAAAAAAAACTGAAAAAATAAAAAAAGATAATCAAGGAAAAATAACGAAAAAGCTGGGAAAAAGTTTATGAAATGACGTAAAGAAAAAATGAAAAGAGAAACAGAAAGAGTGAGAGTGTGTGTATTTGTGTGTGTATGTGTGTGTATGTGTGCGTGTGTGTACGTGTGTATGTGTTGGTTGTGTGTCTGTATGAGTGATGAAGAAATGAATAAAATGAAAGAGTGAATATGATGGAAGAGGGAAAGGAAAAAAAAAAGAAAGGAAACATTTAGACATCTTGGAAAAGGTTCAAGCAATAAAAACTTTGTGGCCACATTAACGACGATACATTGATGATGACGAGAAGTCAACAACAACTGCCGATGATTAATTGGTCGGACAACTTGCTCCTCCATGTCTCTTAATTGTATAATTAAATGAAAAATTATGTGATTAAAAAATCATTCTGCTGTAACACACACACGCACGCACACACGCACACACAAACTTTCTCACACATATACACACATGCACACAAACCCAGACTCACAGAGATTGATTGATCGGAGAAAGCTGCTCCAATTTGTCTCTTAATTATACGAATAATTAAAATCACGTAATCAAAAAAACATTATGTGATATACACACACAAACATATACTCACACACACACAGACAGACAGACACAAACACACATAGACCCACGGACACACACACATACACACACACACACACACACACACATACACACACATATATATCGTTATACGTCTATATATAGCTCAATAAATCAGGTGGATTTTCGACGTTTATATGACTTGTACTCAGACTACTGTTTTCGTAGAATTATCATTTAATAATAATAATAATAATAATAGTAATAATAATAATAATAATATTTATAGTGCTGCTATACGTAAGTTGTCGGCGATGATAAAAAATGTTTAAAAAAAGAAACAAAGAAGCTAAAACAACAGAATAAAAATTGGCCCTGCCGTCGTTAATATTAATTTCTTTCATTGGCCTATGCCAGGGGTGGGCAAACTTTTTGCTGTGAGGGCCGCATTGAAAACTATTTTACATTATGAAGGGTCACATATTAAATAGCAAATTTTTCGACTTGGGGGAGAAATTTTTCAGATTTTAGGCTCCTTTTTTGGTCATAATATCTGGCTGACGACCGCGGGCCGTAGTTTGCCCCCCTCTGGCCTAATAATTATTATAATAATAATAATTATTATTATTAAGATAATAATAATAATTATTATTATTATTATGCATATATTAGCCATTGTAATTTAGGCGAAGTTTTTTCTCTAACTTGTAAATGTGTTTTAGAAAGAAAAAAATGGCCAAAAATTAGAAGTATTAATTAAAATCCGCTAACACTTATACACACTCACACACACTCACACACACACTCTCACACCATATCGTGTGTATTTTTATGTGCGTGTGTGTGTGTGCGTGCGTGTGCGTGCGTGCGTGTGTGTGCGTGCGCGCGTGTGTGGTGCTTGTGTTGTCAGCGTATATATACATTTTATTTATAATGCTACCGCATGCTACATAAGCTGACTGCTTGGATGCTAATTAGAGAAATAATTATCAATATAAAAATGAAAAAATATCGCCATAAATTAATAAACAACGTTTACCAAAGGCTAATTAAAACATCAGCCAACAAGAATAGAATAAAAAAATATATTAATAATAATAATTAATAATAATAAATAATATTAATAATAATAATAATAATCGAATCTCAGTAATAAGTTCATTATTGTTAAAGGTTTTGTTAATGATGATAAATGGATAGATAATGATGATATTGTTGATGATGACCACTACGATGACGATGATGATGACGATGATGACAATGATGATGACGAGAACGACGACGATTATGACGACGATGATGATGATGGTGATGATAATAAAGATGTTTGTTATAGTGCTAAATTATCCTCTACCCATGATCCAAGCATTAAAACATCATCGTACTTTTGTCAATTGATAACATGAATGGGTGAATGAGTGAATGAGTTAATAAGGGTATCATTTAATGAATGAATGAAGGATTGAATGAATGAATGCATGCATGAATAAATGAATGGTTATCTACGTAAAAAATAAACAGATATTTAAAAAATTGTGCAAATGAACGAAAATAGATAAATAAATGGAGATAAATTCGAATGAACCGATGAATGGATGGATAGACAAAATAAAAATGAATAAAAAAGAAATAAAAAATGAAAGAATTATGAATTGCAAAATGAATGGATGTATGGTTTATGGTTGTAATACTTATTAGATGATTATTATTGATGCTTAACTCGATAGAAGGTTGTCATTTTGACGGATGATTTGAGATGTGATGCTCTAAAAAGATGAAAAAAGTAAAGTTGTAATGGTGGTAATGATGCTGATTGGGGCGATAATGACGATGACGACGATGACGATGATAATTATGATGAAAAATATTGTGATGACGACGACGATGACGACGATGATGGAAAATTTAGAAACATAAACCAAAGAGGCCACTATTTGAAACCAGGCAAGCTTTGTTAATTAGAATTTTTATTGAAAAAAAAACAAGAAAAATTATAGAAAAAAATAACCAAAAAGAGCAGATATCTTTTCAGCGCAATCATCTTTTCAGCAGAAAGACAGACAAATAAATCTTGATTAAACAAGTGAATCTCATTCACAGTGTAGCAATAAAAACCATAAGATGATGATGACTTTGATGAATTTAAAGGTAATTAATTGCTACTAAGAAAGCTTATAAATACGTCATTAATACTTATCAAAACATTTCATTTTTCCATCCTCTGCTGCTACTTTATGGCTAATATAATTTTTCAGACGATTTCTTTTATTTCATTTTTGTGTTTAAAACATCACGTACTTGCAGAAAAAGTGACTTTTATATTTTTCCCTCTAAAACATTTTTTAAAATATTATTAGAAAAATAAAATACAAATGTTTAAAAATCAACCCTGTTTATTTATTTATGAAGAATATAATTCATTTACTTTTTAAGAAATCGGGTTTTCCATCAAAAATCTCTTTCAATGGCATTGTTGGAAATAATTTTTTCAACACGTCAATATGATTGAACTGCTGTTGAGAAGTGAAAAATATCGAAGCATTGTTCTTCACTTCTCTTTGTTATTTTATTCCTTTTTTTTGTTAAAGGCAGTATATAAATTTTTAAGAACAGACACACAGATAGAAAAACAGCAGCAGAGCAGCCGTTAGTTGCATTATATCATTATCCATCAGTGCTTATTAAAGTACTTAATGCTTGCAGAGGTTTTATCATAAATAATGCCAATGATTTGATATATGTAAAGACTGTAACTCTCTAGACTTCAGACATTTTATATTCATAGCATTTTTACAATTTTCAGTAATTTATTATGTATTAATTATTATTAGTCATTATTATTTTGTCTTATGTTCATTTAAAACAAATTCATAGAGGCATCTCTTGAAAGCCATCCAGTGTAAATGATATTTTCAACCATGTAATTTCCAGCATGTGTATTTGCTTGACAGGTGTTTCCCATACATAAAGTAGTTTTATCATCATCGTTATCATTATTCTTATCGTTATTATTATTTCTTCTTGACAGCACAATTGTTAAAAAAATTTTATTTTAAACCTTTTTCTGAAGAATGCTAATCTTGCATATCTCATCTACCATCTTATCAATATTTTACGTAATCGTTTGCTTATTTGTTTCTTTGGGTAAATTTCGTCTACTTGGGTCGCCATTGAAAATTTTTTTTTCGGTTTTTTTAAATAATGGATTTGTTTTGCGAAAATCATTTCAATCATCATTTCAAATGGACGATCGACTGCCATTGTTTCGCCTGTTTGATGGAGTTGTTGTCCGATCCGAGGGCTACGCAAGTCGGCCATTATTTTTCATTTTTTTTACTGTTTCTTTCTTAAGTTTTTGGTTCGTTCAGTTGTTTTTTTCTTTGTGATTCTTTTATATAAATTGTTATTTATAGGGAGAAATGTTTTATGATCAATTTTAAATTTCAGTTATTGTATCCACCGCATGCACTGTATGAAATTGATTCAGACAGGTAAATAAATAAAAATAGAATAGGTGTTTGAAACGATATGAAATTATTAAATAAAATTATTAAATTAAAATTAAACAAATACCAAATTAAAAGATTTATTAAAGTAAATAAATGGATAAATAAATTAAAATTTTATTAAAATTTTATTAAAACTCATTGAATGTAAGTAAAGTAAATATAAAAAGATAGACAAATATGAAAAAAATCTTAATGGCAAACTTTTAGAGTTTCAGAGAGATTCGTAAATAATTCAACATTATATTGGCCCAATAAACCAATATTATTGGGGCTATAGACTACTATATCTTCTTTTTAGATCTTTTTATTAACAATTATTGTCTCAAAGGTCTATTAATTATCTTTTACACTATTATCTTTAGTTTTTTTATCACCTTATTAAATGAAAAAACATTGCTTGTACGTTGGATAATTTCTTTTTGTCACATAGTCATGTGTGCAATACATATGGAATGAAATAAAACGCCGTGACCTAATTTTAGTATACCATTAATTAAATTTGTTTTTTTGATATAAACCAAAAAATTGTTATATTTAGATCAGTAGTTGATATATAGAGGTGTAAACAAAAAAATTATCAAAGTACATTCATTAGTTGCACCTGGGAACCAACATAGAGCAATAGAACCAGATAACAAAATCTTGAAAAAAATTATTCATCGTTGATTCATAAATTAATTTATTATTTACAAACTGATTATGTGAATTCATATAATGGGTAAGATGAAAAATGGATTAGATGAATAGTGACATTTTATTAACAGTTATGCCACATTATTACGTGTTTAGGCATTTATACATGTGTGTGTTGATGTATATTTTTTAACCAAGATCATTTGTTTGATCATTTACAATATAATTATTGAAAATGAGTTTAAAAAGTTTGATAGCATTTTCGAAAAAGGTTTTTTTTTTTACAAATTATTAACATAGTTTTGTAATTGATAAAAACTTTCTGTCATACAACTATTGAAACTTTTTGACAGTTACTGAAAATGTAGAAATTCTATAGAAATAAATAAAAAAAACCCACACTTACACACACATCATAGACAGAACTAGCCAAGCTTTCTGATCTAAACATTTTATTTTCTTTAAAACAACAATTCATAAATCTCTGGTGATGTCTGTTGCCTCTACATTTCAATCCCTAGCATAAGCCTACTTTTCATAATAACTGACTTGGCTATTAATATTTTGTATATATTATGTTCCTGCAATTTATTATTCAAATACTTCTTGACATTTAAGTAAATCACTCTTGTTTGTTAAAGTATAATGACTATAAAAAATTTTCATGCAGTGTATGACTCATTCATATTTTATGGCTTTTTTTCAATTTGTTATCAGTTTGTCTAACTTCCAAAATATTTGATGAACTATTTATAGAACATCATTGTGTGTGTGTGCGTGTATGTGTGTGCGCGTGTGTGCGTGTGTGTGTGCGTGTATGTGTACACGTCAATACATCATTATGTAATCTCAGATGTGTATACTTTACATAGGTAGGATTTTTTGTTACAATTCATCTTTTGAGAGCCACCTTATCTAATTCATTTCTCAACAGTAATCTTTTTTCTTCTTTGATGCTCATTATTTATTCTTTCCCTTCCTCTGTTCTCTCTTTATTTTTTCCATTTTTTTTCTTATCTTTATGTTTTTTTCTTTGTTAGTTGTTTTTATTTTAGGATATTTACATGCATAATAATTGAATTATATTATCTAACTGATTTATTTTCAATTTTGTTTATTATTGTTTGATGTAATCTTATGTTTAATTTCTGTTCCTGCCTATTTGTATATTGTATAATACATTCTAAGACTCATATTCAAAGATGAATTTGAAAATTTGTGATTAGATATGTAAGCAAATTTGATCAAATATTAACTAAACTATTTTGTTTTGTTTATGTGCATTACTCTTTTAAATCAATTAAATCACAATTTTTTTGATAATTCATTCTTTATTAGGTGAAAAAGAGATTGGTGATTAGTGAGCTAGTAAGGCTACTGCAGCAGTACCAAGATTTTTTGAAGGAATTGTTGTGTCAGGAGAGTCATGTGGGCAGACTTCTCATTCATCTCTCCATTGGTTTGTATGTTTGTTTTGTTTGTCTGTCTGTGTGTGTGTCTGTCTATTTGTTTGTTTGTTTGCCTCATCGTTTGTTTGTTATTTCACTGGCTACTGTACAATTTTGTTTGTTACTACATAGGTGCTTGATTATAATTAATGACCCATCACCTTTGTTTTCATTGTTGTGGCAGTTGTTTTTATAGCTGATATTGTTTTTTTTCTGTCATTGGATTACTTTCATGATACCCACTATTGCTAATTTTAAAGTTTTTTTATCACTAATGTAATATCAGTTCTATGCACCTTTGCTCTTTATATATTTCTGTGTTTGTTTGTTTATGTGTGTTGTGTATGTGTGTGTGCGTGCGTGCGTAAGTGTGTGTGTACACCTGATTGCTTTAACACAGATACACCACTGCTAATAAACCTGTTTTTAAGCATCTGTTTAGCAGTGCAAGTAAGTTACAGCATGCTCTTGTTGTTAACTTTATTTCAATTAGTAAGTCATTTTTTCATACTTCTTACAACGTTTAATCTCCCACTTCACTATTTTTAGTTTTTAATATGCTGTATGCTTTCTTTCTATAATATACATTCCTCATCCATGTACATACAGTTTTCATGTGTTTAGAGTTCATTTTCTTGCTAAGTGGCACACCTTACTGTGATGCAGTCATTATCAGTTGTCTGTGGTAGTAGATTATTTTTTTATCATCCTTAATACTACCTTCATTAAGACATCATACCTCATTTATGTATGTAACATACTCTACTCTATGAGTAAGTAAGTTTTGTTTCTATAGTGCACTAAATTAAAGCATGTTTTTGTGTACATAATTTTTTTTAATTTTTTGATTTCAATGGTTTCTAATCCACATAAAAATTATATAGGCATGTGTGTGTGTGTGTGTGTGTGTGTGTGTGTGTGTGTGTGTGTGTGTGTGTGTGTGGGTGTGCGAGTGTGTGTGTACATATATACATATCTTCTATGTATAGGTAGATATATATTTCTTCTTAATTACATTTGGTTAATATATTTCTTTGTTGATAAACATAATTGTGCTTAGATTTTCAAGTGATATATTTATGTTTAACCATTTAACATTTGTTTATTATCATAAGTATAATTTATTGCCATCTTGATTTCTTTAAGAGTTAGTTAACTATGTTTCCATCCATCTGCATATCATTGTTTGTGTGCACGTGAATATGTCTATGTAGACAAATGTGCACACACATATATATTTTATATATTTATGTAACTGTTTAGAAATGTATACATTTTTTTGATTATGTTTATATATATATTGTTTTTCGCATTTACATACAAAACCTGTGTATGTATGTGTGTGTCTGTAAATTATCTATCTATCTATCTATCTATCTATCTATCTATCTATCTATCTATCTATCTATCCATCCATCCATCCATCCATCCATCCATCCATCCATCCATCCATCCATCCATCCATCCATCCATCCATCCATCCATCCATCCATCCATCCATCCATCCATCCATCCATCCATCCATCCATCTATCTATGTACATATATGTGTATATACTTGTCTTATTAATAGAGTCTTTAATCATTGCTACCTTATTTGATGTTATTTTTTAACTTTTGTTTTTTTCTTGGCTTTCCATCATTGTGCAGACTTATTGTGCTACATGGAGAGCCCAGCTGGGATGAAGTTAACTGAATGTTAGTATGTATAAGTGTGTTTGTGTGTGAGTGTTTGTGTTTGTGTGTGTGTTTGTGTTTGTGTGTGTGTTTGTGTGTGTGTTTACAATGAATTAGTAAATGATGCATGAACAAAAGAATGAACAAATGAATGAATGTGCAAAGTAGAAAATAAACGAAGGAATGAAAATTAATGGAAAAATATAAGGATGGTCCTGTTTCTGTGTTGTTTTTTGTTTGCAAATGTGTATGTAAAAATGTTGAAGATGATGATAAGTTTTTACGTAATAATGATGCTAGAGATAATGCTGATAACAATAATTGCAACAACTCACATATGAAATAATCTAAATATTTGGAATTTTTCAAATATTTCCAGGTTTATTATTGGTTCTGTCTCTTCAAGGACCAAATAATTTCAGTTTGACTGCGCATTGCATATCTGAAAAAGTATGCACTATATTTTTATCTAAACAAGTTGACTGGATGTTTATGTTACTGTATAATTTTGAATGTTTTTTTTATCACTGACTGAATGACTGACTACTACTTAATCTTGTTGATTTTTCATTGTTCCACCTAATAAATCTATTTCTACTTCGTTAATAATTTGTTAATTTGAGTTATTAACTGCAATACTAATAACATTGACGACACACACACACACACACACACACACACACACACACACACACACACACACACATCACACACACACACACACATCCCACACACACAACATCAAAAATAACAACAGTTAAGTGACACAAGTACTAAAGATTGTGTTCCTCTATATGATGCCTTGTCCCAAATCATTAGGAAATTTCCATGCTCCATCAGTGAAGCTGTTGTTAATAATGGTAACATTTAATTACAATAATTTTTGTTGTCATATTTTCAACTATCTGAATTGAAAATAATTATGGTAAAAATTATAATATTAATAATTATAATAATATAAAAATAATTATGGTGGTTGTGGTCGTATTTGATAAGTTTTATTATAGTTAAAAGTTGAGTTATAGACTTATTCATTCCCCAGGTGATCTGATGAACAGTCTTTCAAATGCTCTGACAGTTCCAAACTACGACATTCAAATGAGTAGCAGTTATGTCATGGTGCAACTAATCACCTCATCATCATCATCATCGACGTCGTCATCTTCTCTTTTGAATTCCACTTTTTTGAAAAAAGTCGGACTGGATGTGTTGCTGCTGTTGAATACTTGTGATCCAGACAATGAACTTGCACTTAATATGCTAGGTAGGTGAGTTTTTTTTTTCCTTATTTCATGTGGTTGCTTTTTTATTATTTATGTTTTTATATCTTAGTGTAAGTAGTATCAATGAGTTGTAAACATTTTTGGTGATGAGATGTTGGAAATGATGATTAGTTCAACAATGGTAACATTTACTTAATTTTCTTATCCTAAGAATATTCTCATCATCATCATCGCTACCAGGTTTACTGAAACTGTGCATATGTCACTCTGATGAAGTGAGTGAGTGCATCCTAAGAGTGATGGAGCACGACGAAGGAATGAAAGTGATGATGACGATGAAGAAGATGATGATTGTTAAGAAGAATCCAAAAGTCAGTCTTATCATTTAGTAGTGTTATTAATTTTATATGATGTTATTTCTAACCACGCTGATAAAGAATGTGAGTTATCATTATAATGGTTATCATAAGTAATTTTGTTATGCTCTTTCATTCTGACCTAACCATGTTCTACTTTGTGAATCAACTCATTCTTGCTGAATCAATTCTTTTTAAAAGAAATTAAAAGGAATTATTAAACTGACATTATTCATTAAAATAATAATTGATAATGACATTGTTTGGTTAAATAACACATATAACTGGATGTAGCTAGTAGCAGCTGTAGTACAGTGTTTGATGTCCATGCTACGTGGTTCTTATTTTGTGGAGTTTGCTCAGCATATGTTCAAAGCTGATATTGTTGGTCAGTGATATATATAAAATTTTTTTTTATCAAGCGATATAATTATTATCATTTTTATTATTCTTCTTATTACAAATATTATTGTAGTTTTTAATGTTATGGTGAACAATTTTTTTGAAAGAATGTTCTTAATTCGGATTTGTTACTTTCAAATACAGAGTTTCTGTACGAGACAATGAATTCTCTCAATGAAACACTTGTCAGGTTGGTTGAATGGTGTGACGGTAATTATATAAATAAATAAATTGATTGATTGATTGACTGACTGATTGATTGATTGATTAATTAATTTATATACCTGTTTCATTTCATTAAATTAAATTCATCACAGCTGAATGCGACATCATTCATTCATGTATTAATTCACTAACTTATTTCTTAATGTATGCTATGGCTACTTTTATTTCATTCAGTTCAGTGTTCTGCTGTTTAAACTTGCTGACAGAGCATGAAATGTTTTTTAACAAGTGTTACCAGCTTTATGGTTATAAATTATTTTATGATGAAAAATTAAAATAAAAGTTTATTTTAAATAATAAAGCAAATAAGCAAATATTTGTCACATTTTTGTAAAAGTTTTTTGATCAATCCATTCAGGTATGGATACAATTGCTAGATGCATCAATGATTCACTTGACGCCTTACACATGCACTCATTGAATTATGGCTTGGAGCTCATTGTCAACATCCTTAAAAAGTTATTTTCATTGATTTGTCTATGGCGTTTATGGTATTTCAATGATTACATTTTTTGCTTGGTTTGATGAACATCTTCATCATCATTTCAATCATCATCTTATTCATAATCCCAATCTCAATCACCATCCCCATCATTCTCCACAAGACATCCATCAGAAAGTAGTTTGAAATTATTCAACAATGATCAAAACCTCTACATCAGCTGCATCAACATTGTCAGCAAACTTCTTGAGTTACAACACTTAGATATAAATTTGTTGAACTTGGCTGGAAGCATGTTTGTAATATTAATAAGGTTTTCTTTCACTTTATTGTTTATTATATCTATAATAAATAATAATTATAATATAAAACAATTATCATTTTTTCCTAATTAACAGGCCAGACCACGTAATAGAGCCACTGCCGTTGAAAGAAATCATATCCACATTTGAGTGCTGCATAAAACTCATGCACCAGATAACTTCAACTAACAACAACAAATTTGTGAACATGAATAAAGTGGAAATATTCAACATAATGGAATCGATGCTGAGTTTGTTAGCTCTAGCGTTTTGCAGGTAAGGATTCTTCATTTTATTGTATTATTTTAATTTTTTTCCAATTTTTATTACTAATTTTAGCAACCATGTTTTACAAAGATTTGTATTTTTTAGTATTGAAAATGTTTTTTTTTGTAATATTTTTTCAGACTTTTATCTGCAGCTGTATCAAACAATTTACTGGATGATTCAGCTTTTTGCTTGACATCTGAAGCTCCAGACACTAACAACAACAAAAGCAATGACTATGACATTAGTGACGACATCAACACCTCGAAGCATCAACTGGTGCCAACATCACAATCAGAGATACAACAACAACAGAGTCCATGCTGTGGCATTGAAAATTTTTCAAAGTGGATGTTGAATTTGGTGGAACATTTTTTCCTGCCTATGTGCTTGGTAAATTGATTTGTTACCATTATTACATTTTGTTTGGTAAATCATTATTGTATGTAACAATAATAATCATTATCTTCTATATATCACCTTCTTCATCATTCTTATACCTTGAACTGTAATTATCCAATTTAATATCCAGAACCACCTGAATGAGATGATATTCCGCAATGACCAAAACAACAACGTTAATAATGTTAGCAACAACAACAACAACCTCAGTGATGAATTCTATGACAGAGTCAATATTACAATAGTTGAGAATGTGCTGAATTCATTAATGTTGTGCTTAAAAACATTACCATCCCTCCAGTTAAAATATCAGCATGGAGTATTTTCTGAACCAAACTTCAATAACAAAATTGTAAAATCAACTCTTATATGCCAACTGTTTATTCTTAAGTCAGTCAAAAAGTATGTTTCTGTATGATATTTGTTAGTTTTGATGATTGAATAAATTTTTTATTTTTGTATTTATTCATTCATTCACTCATTCATTCATTCATGCATGCCGCATTCATTTATTCATTCATTTAGTATCACAGCTACTCTGGTCGGTCTATCAGACGAAATCATCATCAGCACATTACTGCACAACATTCCTTACTCACATTTATCTGTTGATAACAATGATAATGGCCATCATCATCATCATCATAGTGATGATAACGTTCGTTCTGGTAATGATGATTTTAATAAAAATGATAAAGATGATGGTATCAGATTGTGTTTAAAATATGGAGTCCCTTTGTTGAAAGGTTCGAAAAAAATTGCTTTGTATTTTCAGAATTTTTATAATTATCTAAAATAATTTTTAAAAATTCTTCACAAACATTTTCGCGTCATTTGTTATTATAATTAATAATTTCGAAATTATATCGATATAATTTCGAAATTATGTCGAAATTATATCGAAATAATTTTGAAATAATTTCGAAAAATTATCAAAATTTCTCACCAGGCTCCATTGAAAGAATGATCAGCCAACATTTAAAATGTCACATAAGGGAGAAAAAATCTAATTCCGAAAATAATAATGTTAATAATGATGATGATAATAATAATAATAATAATAATAATAATAATAATAATAATAATAATAATAATAATAATAATATCGATGATGATGATGATGACCACCATGATGATGATAATGATGGCAGTGATGATGTCACAGAGATGTACCAACATCATTGTAGTGTTACGCTGTTACTATTGCTCTACCAATCACATTCAAATAAAGTGTTGTTAGTTTGGCTCGTCATTATTATAATTATAATTATTGTAATTTATAATTATTATTAATATTATCACTATTATATCAAGGGTGAGGTTTTCATCATCATTTTTATTATCATTTTTTTGCTTTAGTATAGTATTTTTTCATTTGTTCGTCTGTTAAATCTTTTTTTTTTACAGAAGCATAGAAGATAAGGCCATTCTTTCATTCCTTCTATCTTTCATCGATTCTTATTCGCTCCATCCATCTACATCATCATCATTTAGTTTACTGACTTGTGTGCTTTCTTTGATGTGTGTTAGTATTCATGATAGTAACAATAATGATGATTGTATAAATAGGGTTGATGATGATGATTAGGATGTACTGTTGTTAATAATGATAATTATGACGATGACGACGATGATGATATGAAGCACTATACAATAGTTGAACTGTTTTCAAGTTTGTCGTAATATTTCAACTTTTTACAGAGTATTAACGTGCAGAATTTGAAAACATATACAGGTCAGCAGCAAGTGAATGAATGAGTTCAGAGTGAGTGAGTGAGTGAGAAAATGAGTGAATGAATAAATTTGAGAGTGAGGAAGATAACAAGTAATGATTTGTTGAAATAATGATGAATAAAAAAATTATGGCTATGAATAAGAAAGTAGGTTTTTTCAGATTCTCTCCAGGTTTTACAGGACTGGATGAAAAAAACATTGCCAAATAACATTAACCATTGGTGTAATGGTGATGACAATATCAATAATAACATTAACAATAATAACGAAAGCAATAACAATAGCAATAGGAGTAATAATAATAATAATAATGGTAATAGTTATGTGATGAAAATCTTGAATTGGTCGTACAAACATCATGTATTTCTAGAATTTATTGAAGATTTTATTGTAAGTTTCATTTGCTAGCATGTGATGATGTCAAAGTGATTAAGATGATTATGTAGAGAATGAATCAAGATGGTGGTTTAAGATGAATAAGATAATGATGAATGATATTAATGACAATTATCTCATTCATATACTTAGCTACCTCATGTTCTACTGAATGATGATAATGTTGGTTTTTTCATCACGTTATCATCAAATCATACCAGCTGTCTATACTCTCTTGTGGTCAGTATTATAATTTTTATTGTATTTGTTGTATATAAGTTTTTAGAGGCGGCTTGAAACAACATTTTTTTCAACAAAACGAAGCATAATTAGCGCCTCTGAAGATAGTTCAACAGAGGCGCTTTAAAAATCTACAATGCAATGCAATATAAGTAGATCATTCGTTGTTGTGCGGTAGCCCATTTACCACAAATGGGCTACCGCACAACTAAATATATAACAACATAAATACCACAAATTTTATATGTACCTTTTGAATACAATGAAGATGGCTTTAAGGTATTTCAATACTAATTATATCTTCTCAATGTTTCTCTATAAAATGGTTTCTATTTCTTCATTTTATTCGTGAATTATTTCAAATTATTTTAATCATGGCTCCACACGCACCCGATTGAATTTCACTCCAAATGGTTTCAGAAAATTTTAGTAAAATCGGAAGAGAGAGAACTGATAACGAACTCTCTGAAGATAATTCTAAACTCAATTTCCCGTCATCACAATCATGACCAGCAGCAGCAGCACAACTACAATCATAACCGCCGGATGAGGAGGATGAAGAAGATGATGGTTGTAGCTGCTTCTAAAATGTTTCTACATCTGACCAACGTCGTGCCCAGTAATTCATTTATTCATTTCCATCCTCTTGATGATGCGACGGTGATGATGATGTTTGTGTTGATGATAATGATGCAAAGATAATGGTGATAAGATGAAATGGTAGTGAATTGATAAAAAAAGCCTTGAATTATTTAGTAATTTTTATTTAAAACTTTTAAAAATAGCTTTTAACTTGGCTTGCTTCATCAAGATTCTGTCACATTTCTACAGTACCAACCTTGATGCTGACGACAATGATGATGATGATGATGGCATTGACGAAGATGATAATGATGATGATAACGACACCAAAGTTAACAAAAATAATAACAGCAACTACAATAATAATAATAATAATAATAATGATGATAATAATAATAATAATAATAATAATAATAATAATGTTAAAGTACCTGTCAGGGATCTGAAAATTGTTCAGCATGGTTAGCCTTTATTGTTGTCATTATTATTATTATTTTTATTATTATTATTACTAGTAGTAGTATTTTTTATTTATTAGTATTTAAAATTATGTCGACAGCTATATATATATATATATTTTTTTACACGCCAAACATTCGGTAGAATTTATAGAATATTATAAAAATTATGATCTATTACCAACATATATATATAACATTAACATTATTATTATTATTATTATTATTATTATTATTATTATTATTATTATTATTATCATCATTATTATTATTATTATTGTAGTTGCTGTTATTATTTTTGCTTTTGTTTGATTGAATAAAAGTGATTTGATTTGATTTGATTTGATTTGATATATATATATATATATATATATATATATATATATATATATATATATATATATCATTTTTAAATACTTTTAATAGTTCAAGAATTACTGAAGTTTCCGACTCTAGAAAGTTACAAGGATTCAATTAATAATAAGACCAACAACAGCAATAATAATAATAATAAAAAACATGATAATCATTACCATCACTATATCCATACGCTGTTTGCTGATAAAAATAATGATAACATTTGGCTGTATAATTCTTCCCTGGAGTTTCTTCTTCGATTACTCGTATACTCGTATGATAGATCTAATGATCAGGGTTGTTTCTCGGATTACAATTTGATTGATTGATTGACTAGTTGGGACTTATTGATTGATATGAATGATTGGTTGATTGGTTGATTGATTGATATGAATAATTAAAGAACTTATTTATTTTTGTCATCGCTAGTGATGCTGATGATGTCTAAATGATAATGATATTGTCGTTGCAGTGTATCACATATTATCAATGAATTCTGGCAACCTTATTTCGTTCATCAATTATATCAACACGTATGAAGACACAAGAAATATCGAAAAATTGAGCGCGTTATCCTTGCTTATATTGTGTCTTCTGATGACGTTTAGATTATCATCCAATCATCAGGTAATGTCTAAATAATCATGTTGGACTATTAATTTATTAAGCGCTTTCGCTATTTCAGTTGAAAGCTTCATTGCACGTGAATTTAAACCACGTCAACCTAACTGTAAAAACAGCAATGACAACAACTGCAATGAAGTTGTTGTTTTGGTCTTTATATTACATTGACATAACGTCAATGTACCCGTGTGTGGTTGTCCATAACGACAACAACAACATATTGAGTAACAACAACAATGTCAGCGACGGTGTTGATTTTACAGCATCAGAAGACTTTATACTAGGTCAAATGATGCTATCACTCAACCAGATAGTTGTTGTACGTTTGTTGTTTTAGTAGTTTTTTTTTTTTATCAAAAAACTTTAAACTATATTATATTGTACATGTTGTTAAGTCTTCAAGATATATATTTCATTGTCAGATGTGCATCCATCTGTTTTACTACTGTAGTTTTTTCTTTAATTTGAAAGGAAGATGAACTTCTGAAAATATTGGCAATCAATTGTCTGACATCAGTTCACAAATGCACCCAGCTTAAAAAAATAGGTAAATTTAGTAAATTTTCTGCCGTGGAATAATTTTGTGATGAAGAGTAAATACTGAAATAATTAATTGCAAAGATAAATGAATAGATGTTAATAAATTTTAAGAGCTATTCACTGGTGATGGTTGGTATGAATGTTTACTGAAGCTCGTCCTGTCAAACGTCACATCAACTCTGGCAACGTCTGAGGAAACACAGAAAACGTCAACAACCAGCCAGCCAACGTCAGCAGTCACACAACGCCTAAAAATTCATATGTCCTCTTTGAAGTTCTTCTCATTTGTTCGTTGACAGCTTTCACAGGAAATTTTTTTTAAATACGCAAACTGAATTAAGTTTATTAAAGATATTTATGTATTTCGACAGATGTTAAACTTCAAAGAGTCAGCATTCGCGAGGCATGTGCAGGCCATTGGCAGTCTGTTCTGCAAGAATATTCTCGTAACAGTCACATTCATCAACTTAATTGAAAAGGTAAGTTCGCATTCTATAAAAATCTTCAGTGGATACTATATCACACAAATAATGATAATCATTTAGATCCTGAACAAGAATTTATTGAAGGATGATCAAATATTGAGAGAAGTGAAGGAGAAGATAAAAGACATAAATGATGGAAAGATAGAGCCAGTAAATGACACGAACGAGTATAACCTCCACGCCATATTTAACAGGTCTGTATGCTAACAGAAATGTTCATAGTCTCTGATTTATTTACTTTATAAAATTGTGATTTATTAAACTGCATATACTATGTAAACTATGATAGTACTTAATTTTAAGTTGTATCACTGTCGTAAGCTTGACGTTAATAAAAATATTTTTTTATTTTCACAGGCTTTTTGCTTCAGCTATATAAATGCGTACGACAATCCTGCGTTTGGGACAACTTTCTATTTATAAATTCGTATCTTATAATTGAATATAGACACACATAACCAACGAAAATTTGTCTAAATAAATTATTCAAAGTTCAAATGTTCACATTATTGATTTTCATTTAACGATGACTGTAGCCAGCTGCTTCGTAGTCATTTCGTTTGTTTTCTTTTTTCTAAATGCAAGAAACCTCTTTTCACTGAAAATTATTAAATGTTTCATTGTTTCAAATTGTTTCATGTTCCATGAATAAAAAGATCAAGTCTGATAAGTGAAGTTAGCGACTTTGATGGTTTGAAAAATATTAAGCTTCGTTAGTGAGTGTTCATCTAATCAAATCAATCAGTCACGTGATTGTACAGACCTTGCAATCCCAGATGACCAGCTGGCCGTCAGCAGCGGTTGTACTGAACTTAGCACACTTGTCCTTCGTTCCCGAATGGATGCTTATCTGGCTGTAGTGATTGGCGGCGGTAGTTCAAACAAAAACCACAAGTAAACAATAATAATGTTTAGTTCTCATATTGTTAAATATTTACTTCGAAGCCATTTGTAATAAGTTCTATTAGAAATGATAAGAGCATACGTTATAGTATTTTGGTGAATGGAGTTGAGAGTTGTGTCTGAATTGTCAGTTGTACCTCTGGTATCTTGAGTACGGAAGTGTGCCATGGCTCTGCATTTAGTTATGGAGATTTGAAAACACGGCTTTAATGAACGCTAATGAACTGTATTCACAATATTTTTGTCAATAGTTAATGTCTAATCTTTAAATGCAAAAAACATTGCAAGTAGGTGCTGCAGTATAAGCTGAATATTTGATGAAGCTGACATTGACAGTCAAAGAAATAATAATTCAGGAAAAGATAAGATGATTCAGTAAAAGATAGAATGACTCAGTGAGATAGAATGATTCGGTGAAAGGCCGACCCTCCCTTCTTGGTTTCAGTCTGCTTGTTGTCAGCATCAATCTTGGCTTTAAAGGTGATGGCTCCATTGTTGTATGTGTAACTGAGAGGAACACAATCATAGCCCTTGTAAAAAAAAGTTAAGATAACTTTTTGACTTGATTAAATGTGCCACTATAATGAAATAGAAAATATCAAAATTATTGTCTGTTAAATCAAAAATTAGGTCTATAAAACATTTTGATATTTATGATTGTAAAATGCACATTGAATAAAATTGAAAATACATAACAAATTTATGACTAATTCACAGCAGCAGCAGCAGATAAAAAAGATTGAAACATCACTAACAGCAACAACCAGGGCAGTCTCACTGGTCCAGGTTATGTCAACAAATGGTAGGTACTCAGTCTTCACAATGGTCAGTCTATAAAACAAGTCAGTGTTTATTTTTGAAATCATCCATGTTACTAAGAAGATTTTCAGACATTTAAATAATGCAAATAGAGAGAATCTAACAAGTTTCCTTTGGCAGAATCAGCAACACAGATGGAAGAATCATGTCCTACCCAGGCCAGTTTATCACCAGATCCTGAGAAACTTATCCCATGAATCCAGCCACCTGGTCAGCAGAGGTTGATGTCTTATATTAGAATGAATATCTTACAAGTGACTAATTATTTTAAATATTAAAAACAAGTCGTGTGGTACAAAGCGAGCAAAAATGGAAGCCAACAAACCTCCCTCAGTTGGAAATTCAGCCAAAAGATTGGCAAATGTCAACTTGCTACCCCAACTTGTTGGTGATGGTGACTCATTCACCTCTTTCATCGATGCACTGTACACTCTGCAGATTTGAAAAAACCACTAGACTAATTTATAACGTTAAGTTTTGACAAATAAATTACAATACATAGGTTCAATTAGGTTCATATGTTGATATGCAAGTAAGTAAAATAGAACCTGGCTTTAAAATCAGTTGATCCACAAGCCAACAGCTGGTTATTCTTGTGCCAATCCAAGCTAATTTTGTAAAATAAATTAAGTTCCAATAATTTAATTTCTAATAAAATCTGAACTTGAATGAAAAATAAATCTTCACCAAGTAATTGTAGATCTGATTGGCTTCTTGATCTTCTTATTGGTCCACCAATCGTTCATGGAATCAAAGTAGCAAACAGACACAGATCTATTGCCACTACCAACTGCAAATTTATTTCCCTCAGGTGACCACTTGACACACGTGGCTGCCCTTGTTATTCCAAGAACCACCAGGGCTGGCTTCCACTTGCCATCTGTCAGTGTCCAGACATGGGCATTACGATCCTGTCAATCATGGTAAAGTTTAGGTAGGAAAATCCTAATAAAATTAAAAATCTCTAATTCAAAGTTGTTTAGTGGTGACAATTTTTTATTAGGGTGTGTAACAATTGAAAGATTTGTTTATTATTTCATTTTTTTATTTTGAACATTGAAGAAAAGATAACAAAAAAATAATTTCTGACAGCAGCACAGGTGACAATCTGATTGCTCTTGGGAGACCAATCTATACCGGTAATCCTCTGAGCATGGTCAGTCAAAGTTTCCTTCAGTGTCCATCTTCCTCCAGAGAATCCATGAATTTCAACTTCATTGGAGTTCAAAGAAATGGCAATTTCTGTTTATTAGTTTTGAATGACAGCTGTCTTAATCTTTTAAGCAATTTTTAATTAAATTTTAAATTGAGAATTGTTTTATTTACAAGTGGGTGTGATTTTGATAACTGCCCTATTTATATAATTAAAAAACATCTCTCAATTAAACATAAATGTATCTCTATTAACACAAATTTAATCTTTCATTTTATGTTTAACAGTCATAATTAGCTATTTTATCGAAGTTTTTTTTTGAAAAACTGAAAATAAATGACTTTTAAATTTTTAATTAAACTTTATTAAAAATTTATTAACTAACGATTCCTTTCCTTATTCCAAGAATGGCATGAAATCGGGTCGACGCCGAAGCTGTAACTTTCAGGCATGATAAATTATTAACCAATTAAATGGAATTAATAGAACTGAGCTACGAAACTCGCGGACTCTGGTCAGTCTACGCGAAAATCAATCAACTCAAACTTCAAAAATCTGTTCCGGGTTCTGATAGCGGAAGCTAAATGTAAATTTTGATAAAAAAAACTGCTGAAAAGTGAATTATTTTGGAAAGTCAGTCGTTTTTATTGTTTTTGAAATTAAAATTTAGTAATAAATTTAATGAATTCTAAAAATATTTATTTAAAATATTTATAAAATAGTATTGAAATTATTTATTTGACAAAATACCATTGAGTTTTTCCAAATTCAAAGGTTTCTAAACTCAATGGTATACCATTGAAGTATGGAAAAACTCTTCTTAAATCGGTGATTACTCTGCTAAGTTCTCAAGCGTCTCGAGAAATGTTAATTGAAAATAGAATTTTTTTAGAAGATTTGTGTTTGTCATAAATAAATTAAAATTTGTGTAATAACTATTTGAATGAAATTATTTTCATGTCATTTAAAAAGTTCGTTTGTTGAGTTTGGTGTGTTCCAACATTTCTTCTTTTTTTAATTTTAATTATTAAGGTTGTTTTAAAATTTAAAGGGCTTTTTCATTTTTAAATTAAAATTAAATAATTTAAAATATTAATTATTATAAAAATATTAACTAACTGGTATTAGCAGTTAGTAAATAAATGTTTTTGAAAGAAAATTATCATTCAAACATTGTTGCTGTTCTATTAATAATATAATAATAATTGATTAAAAATGTCATTCTCATTAATAATAAACTAAGATATGAATAATAATTTATTAATTAAAAATTCAAATAAATGAATATGTGATGATTGTAATGCTATGTAGTCTTCATTTACATTTGGTATCCAATGATAACCTGGTAATGATAACAAACTCAAACAGAGTTAAATAGCATGTCAGCATAGTAAAGTAGATCAAAGTGAAATAAAGTTAATAAAATAGAGAACACAAATATAAATAAAACAGAGCATTGAACTTCATTGCAGTATGTATGTATGTGAATATATAGTATATATATGTATATATTATATACACTAGCAAACATTATTGCATGGATTGAATAAGCTTTCTTATATAATAAAATATAGATAGAAACATTGACTATTCTATTGTAATGCACTTTGTTAAGCATATATATACAATGCATAAACTACTTACATCAGTTATGTTGCTATCAGATGACTTTTGTTCATTATGTAATATTTAATAGATAAAATATAGTTGGGAACAAATCAGATGAAATATTAGGTTGCATTGGATTGTATATAATTCATAACAACATTGAAACAAAAGAGGCCACGTTTAAAAGTTGAATGAATGAATAAAGGAGATGTACCAGACATCAGAGCAGATAATTCCGTACAAGTACAACAAAAAGTTGGACTCGATAGACGAATCGATACACAGTAGTTGTAACAATATTAACCTCGCAACATCTACCAATTCGACATCGACTCCTGTCATGACGACTTCAAATTCGATCTTTGATACATCTCAGAGAGATGACGAAAACCCTAATATTCTTGTCTTTAGAAAAGTCAGCTTAGTAATTTTTTTTATTCTAAATTTTAATTATTTTTTTCAATTTTTATTCAATTTTTGTTGTTTTAATACATTTTTTTTATTTTACATTTCACATATATTTCTATTAAAATTTTTATTTTTCAAAAATATAACCAAGATGGAGGCACTGCTTGAAATGATGCAAGATCCAGTCATTGGTATTGATGTGAGGACAGTCAAACAGTTTATGACGAAGATTCCAAGTGTTTTTACAGGTGAATTAATGCATCCTTTTTATTTCATTCAAAAACTTTTTTAAGAGACTGCAAATTCACTTACAGACAGATGAATTTTTAGTATCTCATACTTTTTTTGCGAAATGATTTCTTGTTAAAAATTTTTTTATGTCTTGTTTTTTCATTTAAGATTCTAAGAAATGTATATACTTAACTTCATTCTAGGAGTACTTTTAAACTGCAATGCTTTTTTCTATTTTACTGGATTTTAATTTTAAAAGTTTCATTTCCTTTTAAAAATTCTTTTGTTTTTGCTTCATCCAATTTCTTTTTTTTTGTCTATGTTTTTTTTTTATCTTCGTGCTACAAATTTTTTTCTATTAACACTTGTTTGTTTTATGGAAATATGTAGTTAGTGTTGTTGTCTGTTTGTCTGTCTGGTCTGTTCGTTTGTCCGCCTGTCTGTTTGTCTGTCTGTTTCTGGTTGGTTGGCTGGTTTTTTTTCCCAAAATTGTTCTGATGTATTCCAATAGAGATGCTGATCCATTGTGATCCATCTCAGCCAGTAGAGTCATTGTTAAATTTGATTTGTTAACTTTGCCAGTGTTTCTATTAACTGATACAACAGATTCACTTGTTCACCATTATTTATTGGAAAAATATCATTTTACTTCTTTTACTCATTCATTTGTTTGATTGTTCATTAATTCATTCATCTTTTTATTCATTCATTCATTCAATCATTCATTTTTTCATTCATTCATTTATTTACCATTAGTTTATTCATCTTTTTATTTATTCATTTATTTTTCATTCATTTATTCATTCATTCATTTATTCATTCAATCATTCATTCGTTTATTAACCATTCATTCTATCTATTCATGTAAGTTTTCTTGATTGATCTATTTTTCAGTTCATCTGTTTATAACATTCTCTTGTTGCCATTCATTCTTTCATTCGTTCATTTATTTATTTGTCTATTCATTCCTTCATTCATTCATTCATTCATTCATTCATTCATTCATTCATTCATTCATTCATTCATTCATTCATTCATTCATTCATCCATCTTTCAATCTGTCTATCCATCGAGTGATGGTGATGCACATTAATAGGATTGATTTAATCCAATTGTAATGTACACCACATCACAGCATTATAGCCACCTAGAAGTTCTTAAGTGCTAGAGAGAACTTAAATTCACTTTTAAACTGTTTCTTTCTTTTTTTCATTCATTCGTTCATTTGTTTTTTTTATTTCCTCTTTCTATCCATTTGCTTTTGTTATTGCAGCTGTCTTTATTGATAGGTAGTTGGTGGTGTTTGTGTTTAGTCTTGAAGTGTTGCTGATATTGTTGTTGTTGATGCTGATGTTGATATTGAAGTTGATGTTGTTGTTGATGTTGATATTGTTGTTGTTGTTGTTGATGTTGTTGATGTTGTTGTTGTTGTTTTTGATGTTTAATGGTCGTAGTATCAGTAATGGAATTATTAATAGTAACGTTTTCAGAATAGCGATGAATTAATGAATAAATAAATGAATGAATGGAAGAGTTGGTGGAAGCACTTGTAGGCTAGGTGATATTCTGGTAAAGGCGTCTCTTCATCATCATTGCTATCATAACCATCACCATCATTACCATCATCATCATCATCATCGTCCTAATTGGCATTATCATCAACGTCATCATCATCTTCATAGACGCCATCATAGTCATCTTCGCCAACGTTATTGCTGCTTCCGGCATCATCATCATCATCATCATCATCATTGCCATCATCATCAATATCGTCGTCTTCTTCTTCATCGTCATAGAAGTTTTTAATTCGTTGGCATCATTATCATCATCATCATCCTCATCGCCATCATCATCATCAATATCGTCGTCGTCGTCTTCTTCATCTGCATCATTAGCAGTTCTCTTCCATTATATTGCACAGTGAATATTTATTGACCTCCCATCATTAGCATCATTATCTTTATTCTTATTTTTATTGTTATGAGATGATAATGGTAATACAGCGATTATGATAATGATATCTCTGTCGATGATGATGATGATGATGATAATATAACCTCTTTGGTATTGCTTCTATGTGGACCCATTTCTTAATGTCTTACTGAGAATGTAACTATAAAATGACTTGGATGAGAATGATGATGGTGGAGGTTGAAAGGAGGACAAAGAAGATGAGGATGATGATGACGTTGATGAGATTGAAGAAGACGATGATGTCAATAATGATAATGTTGACGATTTCCTAATATGCTAAGAAACTTTCTTTTTTTCTTTGTTAAATATGTTAACTTTATTCATTGGGACGCAAATTTTCATCCCATGTGCAATCAATACACACAGACAGACATTCACAGGCCCGCCCACACACACACAGATAAACACAGACACACACAAACACACACACACAAACAGATATGCAGACGCATCTATACCCATGCCGGCTAATACCCATAGTTAAAAATACCAGTATACTGGCATGCATGGCTATAATTTAATCAACCAACCTGACACCATTCTCTTTATTATCATTGGCTTCTCTGTAACTTCACTTTTAGCACATTCCTTGGTTACATTTAAATAATTTTATGATGGCGTCGCGTGCATGTTGTTGTCGTCATCATCGTCATCGTCGTCGTCTTCATCATCATCTTCGTCATCATTGTTACCATTATCATCAATGAAATCGTCATCGTAATCATCATCATTGTCACCGTCACAATCATCATCATCATCTTCAAATTCATCATTATCATCACTACTATCATCATCAATACTATCATCATCACTATCACCATCGTTATCATCATCATCGTCATCACTATCATTATCACAACCAGGCACAGATTTGATCAACTGGTTTATGAAAAACTTGGATGTTGAAGATACAGGTGAGTGAGTTTGTCTTGCTTGGTGCATTTTTGTCATTTTTATTATTATTGTTGTTGTTTTTGTTGTTGTTATTTTTATTGTTTATGTTCTTATCTTGATCACTACATGAGCAGGTCTATAATTGTAATAATAACCATTTAATCACGACAGTTATCATCATTGCAATCGTCATCATCACAATCATCACCATCACAATCATCACCATTACAATCATCATCACATTCATCATCGTCACATTCGCTATCGTCAAATTCATCATCATGACCTTGAACTGCCAGCTGAAGCCTTACATCTTGCCAATTTGCTTGGTACTTACGGTTACATTTTCCAGGTGTATGTCGACCACAAACTCAACTTCAAGGGCGATGGCCCATTCTATAGATTCCAGGTTCTAAACACGTTGCGCCGTGTTTGTCTCTGCTTGTATGTGTATTTGTCTGTCTGCCTGTCGGCCTGCCTATATGTCTGTCTAATTATATGTACTCTATTCATTCATTCATTTTATTTATTCGTTCGTTTTTTTAATTATTAATTATGTTTATGACTTTTATTTTTTAATAAAAACTTAAATATAATTATTCTCCTTCACTGATATGAGTCATTGTTGTTATCACAAACATGATCATCTTAACCGTTATTATCATCAATAACAACAACAATGCAATCATCGTCATCATTGTTATCATTTAGACGCCATGCTTATGGCCTTCCAAAGTCATAGAACCTGAAAATTGTGATTATGGTTAGTTGTCGGAATGATTGATTGGTTGGTTGATTGATTGGTTGATTGAATGATTGATTAGTTTAGTTTAGTTTACAGAGCTCTGAATTGATTAATTAATTTAGTAATTTATTTGAAATTCAATTCTGGCCCTAACCCCAGCTGTATACTTGTGTAAGAGAACAATGCAAAACAAGCAGAGATTAGAGTTAGTGGATTATGAAGCCGAGAATTTGGCGAGACTGCAGAAGGACCTGTCTAAGAGATGGGAGCTTATATTTATACAGGCCGAGGCGCAAGTTAAGTTAGTAACTCTGTCTGACTTGTGATGTCGACTGTTGTACGTTCGTAGGTTTGTTCAGTTGGTTGGCTCTTTTCTTTTGTTCGTTTTTTCTTGGGCAATTGTATCTTTGCTAAGTTGAAGTTAAGTTAGTCTCTGCTTCACACTGTCTTATTTGCCGGTTGTTTGTTTGCATGCATCGCTACGATAATTTGTTTTGTTGGGACTGTTTTGGATGACGAGGACGACAATGAGGACGATGTTGATGATGATGATAGTGGTGGTGGTGATGATGGTGGTGATGATGATGGTGGTGATGATGATGGTGGTGGTGATGATGATGATTCAGAGTGGACAGGAAACGTGAGAAGTTGGAGCGGAAAGTACTGGACAGTCAGGAGAGGGCTTTTTGGGACGTCCATAGGCCCGCAGTAAATATTTTCTGCACTTTTATTGGACATTCATTATGATTATTATTATTATTATTATTATCATTGTTATTATTATTATTATTAATGTTTTTCTCATTAGATTGGTACCATTTTTTGTAATGATATATGAATGATACATGAGGATAGTATTCGATGATTGTGTTAGATGAAATGAAAGGTTGATATTCGGATGGATGAGTTGAGTATATGATTGGATGGAAGGATATACGGATGGATTGATTGGTTGGTTGATTGATTGATTGATTGATTGATTGATTGATTGATTGATTGATTGATTGATTGATTGATTGATTGATGAATAGTTGTAAAAAAACTAACCCAACAACATCACAAACAACAACAAACACACACACACACAGCCTGGTTGCGTCAATACAACAGAAGTTGACATAAAGAAAGCCTGTAGAAATGTTAAGAGACAAAAAGTTATCAATAAGGTTGCTGGATGGTCATCCTAGCTGATTATGATTATGATTATTATGCAGTTTACGATGTTGCTGGTGATGATGATGATGATGACGACGATAATGATGATGAAGAAAAGCATGCTTTTGATGAGTTTTACAAGGATTATGATGATGATAATGATAACGATGATGATGATGATAGTCCTTGTGGCTACGGCGATGATGATAACGATGATGATAACGATGATGATAATAACGGTCATTAATTATTATGAAGGTGATTTGTATTAATGAAGGCAACTGGTCGTATAATTTAATTGGATATCTGATATTGTTAACGATTTCCACGGTGCTTTAACGATGATAATGATGATGATGATGATTGTTATGACGATGATGATGGTTATGGTAATGATGATGGTTATGGTGATGATGATAATGGTGATGATGGTGATAAGATAGGGGTTGTGACGATGAGGACGATAATAACGATGAGGGTGATGATGATGCACTTTTCAAGGTGACATCATCAGGCCATCATCTCATCATTGAAGCTGATGTTCAGTCTGTCATTGAATCTTTGCGTAAAGAGGTTTGTAGTGTTGATAATGATAATAATCATTATTATTATTATTATTATTATTATCATTATTATTATTATTATTATTATTATTATTATTATTATTATTATTATTATTATTAGTTGTAGTAGTAGTAGTGGTGGTGTAGTAGTAGTAGTAGTAGTAGTAGTTAGTACTAGTAGTAGTAGTAGTAGTACTAGTAGTAGTAGCAGTAGTAATAGTAGTAGTAGTTGTTGTTGTAGCTAATGACGATGATGACGACGACGATGAGTGTAGCCGTGATAATAAATATCTCAATTTTCGTAAATGGTATGAAAGTTATTAAAATAACAATGACTTTTTCTCTACACGATAATGATGGCGATGATGATTGTGATGAAGATGATGACGACGATTGTGATGATGATGATTGGGATGAAGATGATGATGATGATGATACAGATTGAACGACTGAAGAAATCAGTTGAGAGAAGGAGAATAAAAGTTTCTAAATGTTCAGAAAGGTTAGACAGACAGACATTCATTATATTTTCATTCTTTCAAATAACTCATTTTTTCACTCTATTTTTTATTCATCCATCCAGTCATCAGTTTATTCATTTTTTCTTCCGTCTCTCGTTCATCCATCCTTCCAATCTATCCTTCCTTCATTCATCCGTTTTCATTCATCCATTGATTTTTCTTTCCTTTAATCCTTGCAGGATGGCTACTATATTTATAGGGCACTTAGGCATTTTCTTCCTTATTGCAATTTATCCATCCTCCCATCGTCATTCTCAATGAAATGTTTACACGTGTGTGTGTTTAACGTTTGTGTGCGTGTGTGTGTGCTCGGAACATGCTGACCTTCTTAGAAATCGTACTCCTATAAATAGAACTTGATTCTGTTGTTTGTCTGCGTCTGTGTGTGTGTGTGTGTGTGTGTGTGTGTGTGTGTGTGTGTGTGTGTGTACGGCTATGTATTGCTATGTATTTGTACTTGTGTCGTGTTGTTATAAATGTATGTGTGTGTACCTGCATGTGTACGTAATTTTATAATTAAAACGTTTGTATTAACGTATGTGCTTTTATATAGAGGCATGAAAATGTTCTT